TGCATGAAGCTGGGGTGCTTATACACATCTATGCCCTGCCCGGAGGCGATGCCCTGCCCCGAGGCGATGCCCTCCGGGAGGTGATGCCCTGCCTGGAGGCGATTCCCTTCCCGGAGGCGATGCCCTACCCGGAGGCGATACCCTCCGGGAGGTGATGCCCTGCCCCGAGGTGATGCCCTGCCTGGAGGCGATTCCCTTTCCGGAGGCGATTCCCGGACCCGGCTGCCTCGGCACCGCCTGCCATTGCTTCCCCTGGGCTGCTGCCTTACAGGCTTGGTTTTACGAACGATTAGGGGAGAGTTATTCCCCAGGGACGTCCTGCTGCAGCTGCAGCGGTCCATGGACCACTCCCTTGTAGGCAGAAGTGCCGACTACTTTTTTTAGTGCAAAACTGGCCTTGCTAATCTCTAAAACCTACATAACTCTTCCCTACTTGTGTTTATTTCTCGAAACATCTGTTTCAGACTCAGAGAGATCAGGCTGATGAAAAGGTTTTTTTTCTTAATTTAAAAAAGAGAATTCCAGAGCCTACAAATCTTGGATTTGGTCTTCTTTTTTTTTTTTTTTTTTCAATTTTTTTTTTTCTTTTGCCATGACAAATAGTGCGTGCTTTTCTTTCATGTCTTAAGCTACACATGCGTGTGCAAACATTTAATATTTTCTTAGCTTCTCAACGGGCACAAAGCCATTCTTCTAAGTCCTTATGCAAAACCTGAGTTATGGGATGCACGTAGAATTATATACCCGGACAGAATCCTAGATTCATCCAGTGCATTACTCTGCCCAAAGGCAAAATCAACTCTGCTACTGTGTTTCCTGATGGAAGTAAGATCTATCTGCCTGATTTGATCTTTTTTTCGCCTGCCTTTTCACTTGTACAAGAGAAAAAAGTTTTTTAATGCATTGGGGGAAAAAATGGTGCTGTTTTCACCTCTACTTTTAAGAGATTGTGAAGACTTTATTTTTTTTTTTTTTTTTTAACTGTAATGCAATAATAGAAGTCATCTTGATAGTAGCTGGGAAAGGTGTGTCCAGTTCCCAAAAAGAGCTCTTCAGGGAGTATATTCAAACAGAACACCTCAAATTTTGCTATTTAATGCATTGTTGAGCAGGAATGTGTCTTTTGTAGAAATATTGTGCTTCTGAGTTGTCTGTTTTTCATAAACCTGCAGTACAAATCCATACCTTGATCAATGTCAGGTCATGCTATCAGGACTGAGAGTGTACAGCTTAAGTTTCCTGCTATTGCTGTCTTGATTATTTTTCATCTTCCTAGAAGTGATGCTTATCTCTGATCTGAGCTATGGCTTTTCTGTTTCAGTCCAGATTTATGTCAGTGAGGAATTTTAGCAGCTAGAAAAATTGGTGTAAATGTTAATTTTTACATGTAACATTTCTTCATAAATAAGTTCATTTATTTCTCTGCTCTAGAAGCCTTTAAACAGTAACAACTTCTAAAGAAGATTTTATCACAGCATCATTTGTGTCTTTTTCCTGTTGCTCTTTATTTCTTCTTGTCTGAACTTCACAACACTTTGGATTGTTAATCAGGAATTTATATTGTTACTATACTAAAAAATATTGTTAGGATCTGTTCACTACATAATCTAGTCAGTTGTTTTACAATTTTATTTCTGAAGCTTATAAAAATATGTAAGATGAAAAAGTAAGTACATTTATATATCATTGCTACACTTCTGTGTTGGCTGTTATAGCAAGCTACAACCCTTTGTTTCAAGGAATAGTGACATATTTTGTGGGTTCAAATGTGGACCTATCTTTTAATGCTTAGAAGTGTTCAATTTTTTCTTACTCGTCAAAATTAATATTTAAGAATTTCTAATGTGTTGCTCACTGTAATTTTAAGCCTCTTCCTCAAGAATCAAGAGTGCCAACATTTATCTGGTAGGAATAGTTTGCCATGACAGCTCTCACTGCCTTAGGGTGAGAGCTCTGGTCCTGTGCAGGAGATAACTGAAGTGTTTTCCTTCCTTCTTGACAGACACTGCCTGCAAGAACCGGCCCTTAGACCTCGTCTTCATCATAGACAGTTCCCGTAGTGTCCGACCTGAAGAGTTTGAGAAAGTGAAAATCTTTTTGTCAAAAATGATTGATACTCTGGATGTTGGTGAAAGAACAACCCGTGTGGCGGTCATGAATTATGCTAGCACTGTCAAGGTGGAGTTTCCCCTCCGGACCTACTTTGATAAAGCATCTATGAAGGAGGCTGTATCTCACATTGGCCCCTTGTCTACTGGCACAATGACTGGCCTTGCCATCCAAACTGCCATGGATGAAGTCTTCACTGAGGAAATGGGCACCCGGCCAGCAACCTTCAATATCCCCAAGGTGGTCATTGTTGTGACAGATGGACGGCCACAAGACCAGGTTCAAGATGTGGCAGCAAGCGCCCGCACAGCTGGCATTGAGATCTATGCAGTTGGGGTAGACCGGGCAGACATGCAGTCCCTGAGGATAATGGCCAGTGAACCACTGGATGAACACGTCTTCTATGTGGAGACCTATGGTGTGATCGAAAAGCTGACAGCCAAATTCAGAGAGACTTTCTGTGGTAAGGTGGTCAGTCCAAGAAGGTAGTGTAATTTGGCTCCTTTTGGCTCCTACTGTGGTTCCACTCCTTAAGAAAGAAGGTTTTCTTTTTCAGAAGTGTTATGTATCACATTTAAATATTTCATTTGCCATCTGTTGGGCAAACAAGCCAACCCTTTTATTCAGCATAGGCCAAGCAATGACCTTTAATTTTGAATAGTGATCTTACCATGCAAGTAACAAGACCTGATTTCAGTGGACCTCCTTGTGTGGTTGGACTGATTTAGTGCAAGAGAAAGCATAGCAATCTGGCCAGGATTTGGCTAGCTCTATTTACTGACTCTCCCATAGCACGCACCAGAGCTGTGCAGTCTGCTCATTCATTTTCCCATCTTGCTGGGAAGTGAGGAGAGTGGAAGCATGGTGCTGAAGGGCTCTTTATAGTTCTGGAGTAAGAAAATCAGTGTGGCAGGTGAACCATCATGCTATCTTGAGCAATTTGATGCAGGATGAAGGGCCCAAACACAATGGCAGGTCATCTTGGGATGGGCTTTCACTCTGCAGGCACTGCTGGGCTTTTTCAGTGTGCCAGACTCACACCTTTCTCTGTTACTCTGAAACTTGATTTAGATAGGGAACTGTGGGATGGGTTGAATTAGCTTGGCCTTTTCAGGGCTGGTCTTGGAAAAATGCTGGATGTATATGTAGTTTGGACTAGAACTCCACTAATGATGCTAGGCCAGTGTGGGTTGTTATTGTCATTGACAGAAAAAAAAGATCATGTATCTGGAATATTTAGAACTGCCTATAGGTAGCAATGACACAGCCCTACTCACAAAAATCAAACAGTGACTTTTTGATAATTAAACTTGTATGAACCTTGAGCCTTTTCCAATCATGTTGTGTTGCTGATGTGATCAGATCCTCTCCCTAGTAGCTGGAAGGGGGTACAAATGCCCACCTAGTTGGACAGGTATGTGTGCTGTGAACATAGCACTAATTTTCCACCTATGCTCTTGCCAAAGTAAGTCCTTTCATAGCACCAAATAAAAATCTCTTGTTCTTAAGAGTAAGCTCACTGTTTATTGTGCCGAAGCATAGAAATTAGGTCCATACTAAACTGGAGGGTAAACCAAAGAGAGCTCACAAATATACACTTCCAGTGTAACCCTGAGTTGCCTGCATGCAATTAGCCAGAATCTGTGGGATTCATGAACAAGAAGAGGGTAAAGGGAATAATTTTTAAAGAGGTTTCTACAAACCAAATAAATCTAAGAGGGTCTTGTAAGACAGTGTGGGTAAACTGGGTCTTTTCCAGCTCCAAACTGCTTTTTGGTCAGAAATCTAGACTCACCAGTGACAATTAGGATTTTCTTTGCTTTGGCCAAGGCAAATAAATTTGTTTGTAGGGTGAACTGAAAACAGGAAAACTAATGTTCAGGGGCAAAATAGTTGGCTAAGATGAACATCTTGATGTCTTGAGAGCATCATTCAACATGAGACCATCCTGGAGGTAGAAAATCTTAGCCTTGAATTGGTGTCAAGGGGAGGCTTGACTTTCCTACCACAAGAATCTGACCATTTGAGTCTGAGCTTCTCAGTTATGCTTGAAAATACCACCCACAGATTATGTTCATAAATCATGGAGATGAATTCTCTTATTGACAAGGGTGTAGCAGAATGAAAAGATGGAAAGACAAGGCACACTTTCTATCAGCCTTATTAGGGGACACCTAGATCTTCCATGTGTTAGAAAACAGGAAATGTTGCCTTCCATTCAGAAATATATGAGAAGATTCAAGCACTCTTGCTTCTCATTTCTGTTTTACCACTATTGCTTTGGAGTTTGATTTTACCAGTAGTCTATACGCACATTGCAACTACTCATCTGAGTAAAATCTCAGATAATAACAGACTTGTGCTTCCCCTTTTTCTCCTTTTCCCTTTTGTTTTCTCCTTCTTTCTTTCATTCCTTTCCCCTTTTTGTTCCCCTTCCCACTTTTTTCCTCCACCTTTTTTTTTTTTTTCTCCCCCCTTCCCTCTCCCCTTTCCTTTTTCCCCCTCATCTAAATTTAGTCATCTAAAAATCATATAAGTTTCAGTGGGTATCTAGGTTTCCTTTACAGTCTGTGGAGAGAAACAGGGGCATCTTGAAGTGACCAAAGAAGCAGCAGATCCAAAGATAAATATACTTGAGAAAAACTGGTCAGAAGTTAATTAGTTATGTAGTTAGGCCATCTGTGAAGGAAAAGACTGTCAGCACACGCAGTGCATTCCAGAGACAGACCTGCATTACAACAGTTAGTCTGCCCTGTCACCACAACACCCATATCAGCTGCCATCCATCACGCTGCTTTTCGTATCACTAGTTTTTTGTTTTCTCAGTCTGATGAAACAGCCTTACTGTTTGCTAGGGAATTAGCTTGTCCTTGAAAATTGAATCTCGTTTTGTAGTTTGCACTTTCAGCTTCTCAGTTCTCTGAGGTTTGAATATTATTTGTGTACTGTCCTTCGATTAGGAGGTTCACATACCTGCAAAGCTACCTTACTGTAGAAACTTTCTTCCACATCCTCTTCTGGTTTTGACTTTTTGAATCTGATGGATCAAGGCAGCTGCAGCCTTCACATACCCCTCTTGCACTGGTGGGTTTCTTTGCTGGACCAGCATTACGCAGGGACTTTTTTCATCTCTGAGAAGACAGTGTGTTATCCTCGTGCCTCCAAGTAATTTTTCTGTTCCTCCTGGTCTTGATGGTCTTTCTGTTGTAGTTTTGGTTTAGTTTATTTTATTTTGCTTTCTGTTCCATTTCAGTTTACATGTGATTTTTTTTTACAGTGCAGCAGGAATTCATAAATCAGGTTGTATGCCAATGATCAGATGTTAGTAAGATGCCAGACAGTGACTGATACATTTTGGGATTATTTCAACTGGTTGTCTGTAATAGAGATTGGCTACAAAAAGCCAGAAGGTCCTTTTCATTGCAGAATTCACATTTCCAGTGTAATGTTACTAAATTCTTAAAATCTCTCCCTGTTGCACCTTTTTCAATTCATCTTGTCTTTCTGCCACCTCCGGTGGTGAGTTATTTCACTGCAGTTGTTCCAGTGTCATTTATGACCTCTTTCTTTCTTCTGGCTACAGAATGATGCAGAAGATGCCTGTAGCTTTTTGTGACAGTGACACAGCACTGACATTTACTACTGCTAATCCAGCAAACAGTGCAAGATGTACTTTTGTAAGCATAAATTATTAATGACTGTTTCTTTTCTTTGGGATGACTGAAATACTTTTTCTGTAAATGCCCTTTGTAGCTGCAAATGTGTGTGCACTTGGGACCCATGACTGTGAGCAGGTCTGTGTGAGTAACGGCGGATCCTACATTTGTGATTGCCATGAAGGCTACACTCTGAATCCAGATAAAAGAACCTGCTCAGGTATTATTCTTTCTGTAGATGTGTTCAGCTAGAAAAAAACCCCACTTTTTAACACCATAATTGCATTTAAGAAGCTACTTGTGTACTACTGCTGAAACAATGAACATCTGTATCTTCTTTAATAGTAATAAATCTAATAATAAATAATAAATAAAAATCTGCTGCAAGTAATGGTGAGTAGTTTGACTCCATCACCATCCTTTTTATTATGCTTACAGAACCATTCATTAGGGCCAGACGCCAAAACAAAGTCTTCAGATGTAGAAAATGTATAGATATTTTCTCCTACCACTTATTCTAATTCCTTCAATTACTGTTATCATTTCTGAGCTGATTCCAAATCGAAATATATTCAGAAATGTGAACATGCACTTCATCCCAAACTACTTTTTATTAAAAATGAATCGCTTCTCTCATATGCATCTTGCAGCTGTGGACACATGTGCACCTGGAAGGCATGAGTGTGATCAGATCTGTGTGAGTAACAATGGATCCTATGTCTGTGAATGCTATGAAGGCTATGCCCTGAATCCAGATAAGAAGACTTGCTCAGGTAAGAATTAAAGGTTACTTTAATATATGAAACTCATGGAGAGATGGACATGTTTTCTGTGAGTTGCCCTCATTACTTCTAGTTGAAAAATTGCTTACAGACATCAGCTCTTAAAATGTGAATTCACTTATAGCCTTTCCCCTTGGTTCCTGTAACAATCAAATTCATCGTTCTTTGCATGTGTTGATTTAAAAAATGCAGTTTGGCACTCACCTACCATTTTATGCTTTTCACAGTATTTCATAAACATCACTTAGTCCCTGGGAAAGGATGAACCTATTTCGGAGATGCCCACCAGCACTGTGTCTCCACTGGAGAATGAGGGCCACTAGTCCACAGAGAACTTAAAACCTGATGATTTTCCCATGTCCTCTCCACTGCTTCCGTTGAAACTCAGGGTTTTTTACAGTTTGTTGCTCCTGCTTCCAAAGTTGTGCAGGGCCCTGCTGTATAGAAACCCCAGTCTTACACTGGCAGCAGTTTATTCCTCTCCTACTCCTTGAATTGGCACCCTGAAAAGTTAACCTATTATAAAAACTTTTTTCCTTCCCAAATAATTCTCTGGAATTATTTCTTTAAATCCAGAAGTTCTGAGCAGCACCAGCCTTAGGGTAGCTATTTTATAACTGGTAAGTATATCTCTCCCTTTGAGAGCCCTTGAGCATTTTTCTCACTGAAGTTTTCCCTCTTCTTATTTCTGAAGGGAGAACGTAATCTTCTAGAGCTCCTGCTTTTTTGTATATGTCTCACTAGGTTTTATATCTCTCTGCCATTTAATAGCATTTCTGTGTATCATGCCTGGCTTTTTGTGCCTGTGTTCAGCTCATGGATGAAAGTATGAAGTTAGATTTGGATCTACTATAGTTACTGTTAATATTGCAAGGAACAACTTCTGCCTTGTCACGTGGCAGGTTATTGCTCATGTCAGTATGGTGTTTTACCTTCATCCTTACTGGGGATAATCAGGACTGTTAAAATTGCTGATAAAAATCAGACTTGTGTGAGATGTGTTATATTAATGTCTTACAGTCCTGCTATCTGCCTCTACTAAATAATTAGTAACTGAACTCAGCTGTCTGGAGGATAATATAATAATAGAGTAGGGTTGAATCCTAATTAAATTGTATTTATTGTATTTATAAATGTTGAAACATTTAAAATGCTTGAGTGTCTGGGAGGATTAATAAGTTTGCTTCCTAAAACTATGTTTCACCACAGTCATGGACATGTGTGCACCTGGAAGGCATGATTGTGCACAAGTCTGTCTGAGTAAGGATGGATCCTACAGCTGTGACTGCTATGAAGGCTACACTCTGAATCCAGATAAGAAGACTTGCTCAGGTAAGACCTGATCAAGGAAGTATTATATGTAGCTAAAAGAAAGTACCTTTTAAAAATCAGGTTAATTTACATTATTTTTCTGATAAATTATCCAAGAGTTTCTGTAGAACTCCTGAGAACACAGTGCAACTTCATCTCTTCATGTGTCCAGCAATAACTTGAGAACTGTGACTCTTTCACAGTTGTGAAAATTGTAATTGCTATAATTAAAATGCCATTTGATGTTTCCCGAGGACTTCACAATATTTTTACACTGATAGAGCACAAATTACCATATTTACCTAAGAGAGGGAAGGATAATATATTTGGTGGGAATTATGTAATGTGCAGTACCCGTGTCACAAAAACCTTCAGCAAAGCAGCATATAGGAATGAGATGAAGAAGAACAAGGACTGTGCTGGGAGAGAGATTACAGTCTATATCATCATGAGTGTGATCACTCTTTTTGGTAGATATGTTTGGACCTTTAAAAATACTCCAGCCTTAGAGCTCTAGAGGAAATTTTCTTTCCCAGTGCTGGTCTCTTGTGGAGAACACGAGCATAGATATAACTGGTACTTAAGGATGTACATATAAGTATATAGAGTATATAGTACCTACAGATTAATACGTATTCTATATTATTTTCACTTGATTAGGATTTGAGCTTCACTCTTCATTTCTTTGGCTGTCTCACTGAAGATATATTTAAGCAAAATCCTTTTTTTCCACTTCCATCATAATCCTTTTCCTTACTGCATTTTGTGTGACAAAAGTGCTGAACCAGTGAATTTCTTCCTGCCTAGTTTAGAAGCTGATTTTGCAAATACTGTTCCTAAGACTAACTCTCACCTGCATTATATAGACTCAATAAACATCTGTGAGGGAATATGAATTCAGTTAGGCATCCTCTTTGGATGTCTAATCCCGAACCTACTTTCATAGCACTGATTATTCCCCTGCGTAGACAAATTTCAGATTATTTCCCTAACATGCTTGGGTTTTTTTTCCTCTTTTGAATCTCATTCTGCAATAGATTTCTAATGCTTTTTCAACCATCAAGGTCTTTGTGATATAATAAAAATAGTCTAGGTCCAGGAGGGGTCTTTTCTCCCCTCCCCTCCCCTCCCCTCCCCTCCCCTCCCCTCCCCTCCCCTCCCCTCCCCTCCCCTCCCCTCCCCTCCCCTCCCCTCCCCTCCCCTCCCCTCCCCTCCCCTCCCCTCCCCTCCCCTCCCCTCCCCTCCCCTCCCCTCCCCTCCCCTCCCCTCCCCTCCCCTCCCCTCCCCTCCCCTCCCCTCCCCTCCCCTCCCCTCCCCTCCCCTCCCCTCCCCTCCCCTCCCCTCCCCTCCCCTCCCCTCCCCTCCCCTCCCCTCCCCTCCCCTCCCCTCCCCTCCCCTCCCCTCCCCTCCCCTCCCCTCCCCTCCCCTCCCCTCCCCTCCCCTCCCCTCCCCTCCCCTCCCCTCCCCTCCCCTCCCCTCCCCTCCCCTCCCCTCCCCTCCCCTCCCCTCCCCTCCCCTCCCCTCCCCTCCCCTCCCCTCCCCTCCCCTCCCCTCCCCTCCCCTCCCCTCCCCTCCCCTCCCCTCCCCTCCCCTCCCCTCCCCTCCCCTCCCCTCCCCTCCCCTCCCCTCCCCTCCCCTCCCCTCCCCTCCCCTCCCCTCCCCTCCCCTCCCCTCCCCTCCCCTCCCCTCCCCTCCCCTCCCCTCCCCTCCCCTCCCCTCCCCTCCCCTCCCCTCCCCTCCCCTCCCCTCCCCTCCCCTCCCCTCCCCTCCCCTCCCCTCCCCTCCCCTCCCCTCCCCTCCCCTCCCCTCCCCTCCCCTCCCCTCCCCTCCCCTCCCCTCCCCTCCCCTCCCCTCCCCTCCCCTCCCCTCCCCTCCCCTCCCCTCCCCTCCCCTCCCCTCCCCTCCCCTCCCCTCCCCTCCCCTCCCCTCCCCTCCCCTCCCCTCCCCTCCCCTCCCCTCCCCTCCCCTCCCCTCCCCTCCCCTCCCCTCCCCTCCCCTCCCCTCCCCTCCCCTCCCCTCCCCTCCCCTCCCCTCCCCTCCCCTCCCCTCCCCTCCCCTCCCCTCCCCTCCCCTCCCCTCCCCTCCCCTCCCCTCCCCTCCCCTCCCCTCCCCTCCCCTCCCCTCCCCTCCCCTCCCCTCCCC